CTGCCATCCAGAGGAGAAAAAAAAATGTAATACTCCATACTATGGGGGATTTTCACCTCCAGAAGACCAAATAACAGGAAATAATATAGATGTGTCATTCAAACACATGATTCACAAATCTGAAAAGATTCTTCTGTTATAGAAAACTCTCTGCTGCTAAGAAAAGCAAACAAAAAGTAAACAGCACGAATAGCAACACCTTTCTCAATGAAATCTACTTAAAATGGTGTCTGAAACACTCAGTTGCACACTTGACTGTGTATCTACTGGAACCTAAGAGTAAAAGTGTTAGCTGTTCAGGTGTGTCTGACTTCGTGACCGCATGGACTGTAGCCCATCTAACAGATACTCATATTTTAAGTGAATTCATTCTAAAATCTGTAAAAAGTATTCTTTTGAAAAGCTGAGATCACTCAATAAATATGAATCCAATGCTAATATGCCAGGCACAGAGCAAAGATGAAAAAAGGTCCCTCATACTTTTTCTTAAAGGGATGAAGGGCAGCCACAGACAACAGAGTGCCCAATCCAAAATACAGCACCTGCCATAGAAGCCCATGCATATAGTGTCAGGTTCACCAGAAGGAAGCCTCTAGCTCCACCATTTTTCCAGTGGACAAGGAACTTAGTTAACGTTCAAGTATCTGTACAAGCAAGTTTTTAGGTGACTATATATATTAGCCTTGGCAATAGGGGAATGAAGGATTTAGATCTGCATTGCAACACATTCATGTCTTAAATGGTAAGACAAAATATTGTTGGTACATATATCCCTGACCATGCAGTTGAAAGGTTAACTGAAAGTCCATAAATTTAATTGATAAAGATGAAGATAATGGTAATGCTAATGAAAAATAAATAAAAGAGGAAGCACAATGAAAAACCAAGATCAACTTGAGACAATACTGATGATAAATCATAAACAAGCACCTTTCCAGAATATTGTTAAGAATCCCTATTCTGCACATGACATGGTAAGAAGCTTTGTGTTGCTGCCAAGTGTCTCAGGACAGTACCTTCTGGGAAAACAAGGTATCAGAGACAACAGTAAACTCTAATGTTATGCTAGTTTTGGTTCATGAACATCATGGTATAGTGACCTGGTAGATTATTAATAAGTAGCCTTTAGGTGCAGGTAAGTATGAACAACTATGAAGCAATAAGAATTGAAAAAAAAGAGCTGCATTTTCAACAAGGTGGGGCAGGGTAGGAGACATACTTTGAGAATCATTGCATTAAAGGAGCACAGAAAAGGAAACTTAATTCTTTAGGAGGTAGAAAGGGTAAAGAAAAAAAAAAAACAAAACTGACACTGAAACATTAAACTGAGGTAATAATAAACCTGCCAAATAAGGTATTTTGAAACTTTCTACTTGATGTATATAAGACCCATGAAATTATGCTTGAAAACTATCATTTCAAGCAATAAGAAAGTTACATGCAGGGTTCATTCCTTAACAAACTTAAGGAGTGTATCAATCCTCTGCTGTCTCAAATGCATTCTTAGTTTTCCAAAGCTTAGAGAGGGAGAAAGTGGAATATTCTCCAAGAGTTCACCACTACTTATTAGGTATTACCTCAGTTAGCCTTGTATATATCATAGTTATCTATAGTCAAAAATGATTTTACATACTGAACCAGCAAGCATTCCCTCTGGACACTGAGAGGGAATAGAAATAAACAAATAGAACAAATATGTACTTTTTTTCTAATCATAAAGGTTGGCAAGAAAACTATTTCAAAAGTTTACTTATTGAACAGATAAACCAAAGGGAACATAGTCACTCATTTGCATTCCTACAAAGTTGTGAAAGTCTCTTCCTCAGGTTGTGGCCCAAGTTATGGCATTCACTATTTCATAACTGTTCTGTTTTTCAATTTTACAATTTGAACACCAGGAAAAACTATCCATATTCAAAGGGAAATGCTTTGAAAATGCCCAAATATTTGAAGAGAAGCTACACAGTTTACTGCCCCACCCCATAACTCTTTTGAAATAGATTCTGGTTCCATTGCAGTTCCTGTCTGTGGTGTCTAATGACTTTTCACTTACTTTTGCAACCCTATGATTGTCACATCCTACTTTACAAGAATTCCACCACAAAACAGAAAATTTCCAATTTTAAGTAACGTAGGTAAAGTATCTGCCTGCAATGTGGGAGACCCAGGTTCGATTCCTGGGTCAGGAAGATAGCCTGGAGGAGGGAATGGCGGCTGCTCACTCCAGTATTCTGGCCTGGAGAATTTCATGGACAGAGGAGCCTGACAGGCTACAGTCCATGGGGTTGCAAAGAGTCGTACACAAATGAGCAACTTTCACTTTTCACACAAAATTCTGTTTTTATTTCCCCTTGATTCTTGGCCAATTTACTAAGTGAAAAGTTATTTTGCTGATGAAGCAGAAAAAGTCCACAAAGAGTATGCTGGAACACTTCCTATAATCAATAATGTAAAAATAATCATGAAGTGCAGAAATAATGAAGGGTTTATGAAAACGGCAAAAGCAGGACACAGATTAAAGCAGCAGGTTTGGACAATGTGTATCTTGGGAACCAGAAAGCACACAGAATCACCACAGGGATTTTTTCAAAAAAGACTCATGGAACGTAAGATTAGAAAAACAGGAAACTCAGGTCAGCTTTTTGTTTAGAAAAAAAAAAGAAACTTCAAAAATCACAAATTACTCAATATTTGTTAAACCAGCTCTAACAATTGCAACTAACCAAAAATTAGGAAGATGTCATCCATGGACACAGTACTTATAACATCATAGAGGGATTTACAAAGCAAGATGTCATCCCAGGAAGTGCAAACTATACATGGGTGAAAAGTAGAAACAATCGTTGTGGGAAAAAACTTTTAAAACCTTTGCTAATGTGCCTCATATATGTATGGTTTGGGGTAACTCCAGGAAAGCATAATATTTATGGAGAAAAAACAGAGGTCTCATTTATAAAATAAAAACTGAGGGAGAAAACATGATACTCACTACCTGTACATAAAAAGGCCACAAATACATATATATGGAAAAGGGGGGAGTGGTTTACAATAATGAGATTAAATTACCTGGAGGAAAATTTCAGCTGTCAGAAAAAAAAAAAATCCCTGAAGGGATTATAGAGTACATTATTAAAGAGTACATTATAGTGCTATCTCTTGCAGTATCATCAGAGGTTCAAAGTAAACTAAAACTCTGGGAAAAAAAACATCCTCCACCCTCATCTAAGCAGGAGCTGAAATCATGGGTTTAGACAATATAACCTAAAAAGGTGGAAACCTTGAAGCTTTCAGTACAATATGGCTCCCGCACTCCATAGGTGATCACCAACTGTATTAATGCTAATCCCTTATATCTACACACTGTTTCACAGTTTAGAAAGAGCATTCACTTTCACTACTCAACAGCAACCCCTTTGATGGCAGAATCACAATACTTTCACACAGCGTGTAGTCTGCAAAACACTTCCACACACTGTGTTATTATACAGAAGAGACCCAAGGAGGTTAAGGAGGAGGAGATGGCAGGTAAGGGGCCTGGACAACCAGGGGACTCCCTTCAGTCAATTAAATAGACTCTTCTAACCTTTAGAAGTTCAAAGTACAACACTCCAGGGGGAGCAACCTCATTCAGACAGCTATACAGGATAGAACTGAAGAGTCTCAGTGGATCATTTCTGCCTCGATCTCCAACCCCAAACACAGGGAAACTGAGGTATCAGGTAGAACAAAAGCCTGATCGAAGAGTCACGTACGGAGTGTCGGTGGGACGGAAACCCACTCCACCTGCACTATGTCCAGAAACGGCTGATTCCTATGTTTCAAAGTAAAAAGCCTGCCATTCCCGCTTCTCTCTATTTCCCACCCGGGCTTTCCTATGACTTGGGGGGGGGGGGGGGAGGGAGATCTTCCTCCCGGAACCGCGCAGCAAATCCCCTCTCCCCAGGCTCTTACTTATTTTTCACATCGGGCCTCCGAGGTAGGGGAACCCGCTAGCTCTGGCTCCCAACTCCTAGCTTCTCGCTCTCTCTGAGGCGTTTCTTGACCCTAAGGCACGTCTAAGCCTCCCCAGGGATGGTCTTCTGCCACTCCTGCCACCTGAATCTCAAACTCCACAAAAGGAAACCCTCCCCAAGCATCCTCCTATCTACCCTTCTATCCTGGCCACCCCTGAGGAGCACCACTATATATCAGGAGCCTCCCAGGAGCTACCTGCCTCTCACCTGGGCCCTTCTGGCCGCGGCCTCCGCAGAAGGGCGACCCCCAACCACCTCCTCGGTCAAGAAACCCCTAAAGCGGAAACACCCTCTTCCAGGGTCCTCTCCCGGCGCCTTCAGCAAGGGCCTCGCTGGAGAACCTCCGAGCTGCTTTCTGGGCTCTGCCCAACGCCACCCGCTCCCAGCCCCCTCCTCAGAATCTCCCCCAGCCCAGTCCGGTCTCCCCGCCGCAGATTCAGGCGGCTGTTCCCCTCCCTCACAGAACGTTCCCAGCCCTGGGACTCCCCCCGCTTCGCGTTCCTAGGGGCTTCCCGGCTGGGCTGCGGCACTGACTTTCTCCAGCTCTCGGGCGCACTCGAGGGAGGGGGCGGCGGCGGCTGCGGCGCGACTCCTTTGTGACAGGTCCAAGAGAGCGGTAAAGATGGACGCGAGGCCACGGCGCTGCCATTACGTGCTGGGCCCACCCCCGCTTCGTACCGCCCAGGCCCTCCCTCAGTCCTCTAGGAAACGCCCCTTCCTCGGTGGCAAGCCCTCTTCCTCACATCCAATCAGCTTTCAGGAATCACATCACGTGACAACACGACTCGGCCCGCCCTCCTGGAGGGAGCTGGCCAATCCCCTTGCTGACGTGTGAATGGCCCAATCAAGTCTCTCCCGCTAGCTTTCAAGGCACCGGATTTCCATCTAGTTCTCGGGAGGAAGGGAGGTACGGATTGGATTACACCGCCGGAAGAGGGGCGGAACTTTGTTGTGGCGGTGAGGAAAAGGAAGCCCTGAAGGGTAGAAAGAACTACCAAAGCAAAGGCTGTTTTCTTGCTTTCATTCTTTCTGTTTTTACTTTCCTTCTTTTTATTTTTTTTAAGAGCGAGCGGCGTTTGCGGTGGCAGTTTGGGGTGGGCGCCGCCGAGGTGAGGGGGTCTCGCCTCCCGCACGCTGGTAGGTGAGTGCGGCCTGGGCCCTGGCCAGGCAGCGAGACCAGGGCGCCAGCGTCCTCGCAGAGGAGGTGGGGGGCTGCGTCTGACGTGAAGTTTAGGGCCAGGCCTGCCCTTAGTCTGCGCTCTCGCCCAGGGTTCTTAGTCACCAGAGACAGGGGCTTGTGGGGCCCAGCCTGAGGAAAGCCGAGGGAGCCCGCGGGAACGCCTCCAGGTCCTGTGGAGGAGGATGCCGACCCTTTCAAGCGGTCCTGGGCCTTTGGGTCTCTTGTCGGCTCCCCTCTACGTTTTCTGCCGGGTGGCAGCCTTCAAGCGAGCAGTGGACTCTATCTCACAGGTCTTGGAACGGCTCCAGGCTACTCCGGAGATGTGGGGTGCCTGCCTGGTTGCGAGTTTCTGAGTCACAGAATTAGTTTAGGATAGAAACAGTAATTATGCTCTATGTACCAGTCTCTGTGCTCAGTGCAGCTTTCTTCTAAAGGAAGTCAAACTGGCGTGTTCGTCTTGCAGAAAACTTAACTGAGGGTTGAAGCGTCTTGAGAGCTGCTGGCCCAGGTGAAAGCAGCGCGCATCGCGGTAAAGGTGGAGACCTATTTCTTCTTAGCACTGGTTTTGAAACTAGCAAAAAACAAGAGCTTCTGTAGCCCTTTTAAAATGCAGATTCTCGGACCCCTCCACCCCAGCTAGTCCGCCTCAGGTCTTGAGTGGGATCCAGAAAGTCAAGTGCAGGTCTGGCGGTCAGAATTCCCAGTGACCTCTTGTGTACCAACTGTTGGATGAGATTCGTTGATAATTCAGCTGTTTGCCTTATTGCTGTGTTAACGAGGACCCCGTAAAAAATGGTTTGGAAAGCACTGCTTCTGAACCCCGTGAAAGGAATTAGTGTGTAGACTCCTTTTTGATACAAGGAATTGAGTAGAGACAAAGGCAGCTTTTACAGTCTTGCAAACAGATCTTGAGATGAACAGTTTATAAGGGTCTGAAACCTGAGGCTGCCCAGTTATTTTGCTCAGCTGGGTCTTAATGCCTTTCCCTCATGGGGAAATTCTTCGTGGTTGTAACAATTATATCAATACCTTTTACCTTCCCATTTAAGAATCTTGCTGTTGTGATTAGAATCATGCTGCTGCTTAAGAAATTGAAAACCATGTATCTGGTAAATTAAGTGATTTGAGCGCATGGTTCAGCTGTAGACTCAATTAGTGTAATTATATCTTCATGGCAGGTAAATGAAGCAATTTCAGTGTGCTCACTATTGATCTCCTTTTGAACGTGCTTTGTCTTCATTCTCAAATACCACCTGTTTCGCTTTTTCTATAGCATGTGTTTTACAGTTTATTTCATCTTTGGTTTTCTGAATTTTCCTTATGATGTATGCAACTGTGGATTTGTTTCTGTTCAGTGTGTTTAGTGTCTTACACTTCTAAATTTTTGGATTAGTGTCTTTCATAAGTTCTGTAAAATTCTTAGTCATTTATAATCATGTACTGTTTCTGCCCTGTTGTATATCTTCCTTCTTTACAGATTTAATGTAGACCTTTCTCCCTCTCTTCTTTATGCCTTTTCCTCTTTTTACTTTTCTATACTACATTCTGCATAATTTCTTTTTTATTAATGCTTCATAAGTTATTTCTAATCTGTTGCTAAACTCATCTGTTGTGATTTAAATGAATTTATTGCATGTTTTAGTCACTGAAGTTCTGTTTTTTTCTTTTCAAATGTGCCATGCCACTGTCTTAATGGTTTCTTATGCTCTGCTGTTAATTTTGAGGCCTGGTTTTTATTTCTTTAAACATGGTAAGCATAATTGTCTTGTAATCCATATGTGTTAATTCCACTGTCTGGATGTCCTTTGGTCTGTTTATGTTGCCCATTATTCCTGCTTTTTTTCTTCCCAGTTCACCTTTACCTGATGCTGTAGTTCTTTGGGGTACCAGATTAAGATGGAGAAAGAGGTGGTTATCGGACCCCACACACCTTACGTGGACTCTCTGCTGTTGACTTTTGCTTCCCAAGGGTACCAAAACAATAGCTTTCAAGATCAGAGAAATCCTCAGGACGAAAACCAGTTTGAATATTGGGCTCAGTTTCTGGTTTCCACCTTGTCTTGTGTTTTTGTCGAATTCTTTACTATCTTGTTAGCTTTTCTATTTGTTTAAGAATTATTTTAAAAAACTTTCAGTTTTATTTGTTGCAGAAGTGAGGGATTGGTCTCAATTACCTAGCCCGCTGTTCCTGGAAATGGAAGCCCCCTTTGATTTTAGGAGTGAAATTTGTCTTTCAGGCAACCTTGAGTTAAAGGTTATTTTTCTTCACCTATCTAAAACTTCCACCACCTTTCACAGTGCAGTGTCCTTGTTGTTCAGTTGCCCAGTCATATCTGACTCTATGTGACTCCTTGGACTGCAGTACGCCAGGCTTCCCTGTTTTTCTCTATCTCCCAGAGCCTGCTCAAACTCATGTCCGTTGAGTCGATGATGCTATCCAACTATCTCATCCTCTGTTGTCTCTTTCTCCTCCTGCCTTCAATCTTTCCCAGCATCAGGGTCTTTTCCAATGAGTTGGCTCTTCACATCAGGTGGCCAAAGTATTGGAGCAGTGTCATAGCTGCTATCAAAATTAAGCTTCCCCAGTGCTTTTTTCTAGTTTTCATTTTCTGAACTCCTTAGTGCTTTATTTCTTTTCTCTTAGAGCATTTACCCTCATTCTCCATTTCCTTAAATTGTTCCTGTACTTACCTTCTCTCTTCTTTTGAATTCAAATTCCTTATTGCTAAAAAGTAGTGTCAGTTTAGTACCTAGCACTGTGACTTGCACATAATGCTATTGCTGCTTGATTGTGTCCGAGTCTTTGCAACCCCATGGACTGTAGCCCACCAGGATTCTCTATCCATAAAATTTTCCAGGCAAGAATAGTGGAGTGGGTTGCCTTTTTCTACTCTAGGGAACCTTCTCTACCCAGGGATCGAACCCACATCTCCTGCAAGTCTTGCATTGGCAAGTGGATTCTTTATTACTGAGCCACCTGGGAAGCCCTGCCTTGCACATATGTTCCCTGTAAAGATTTAGTTAAAAAATACGACTGAGTGAGTGGGCCTTGTATGTTTGGTGTAGTGTAAAGTCCTTTATTTTTTTTTTTAATTTGGTTTTGGAGAGGAGATCCATAAAGCTTGGAAGGTGGGGGTGAGAGAGAGTGTAATTTAATGTGGGTTAGGTTCCAAAGTCCACCTAGATGGTAAAATAGTGTGTAATCAAAGCTATCCTCACAACAAACTGTGGAAAATTCTTAAAGAGACGGGAATACCAGACCACCTTACCTGCCTCCTGAGAAATCTGTATGCAGGTCAAGAAACAACAGTTAGAACTGGACATGGAACAACAGACTGGTTCCAAATCGGGAAAGAAGTATGTCGTCAAGGCTGTATATTGTCACCCTGCTTATTTAACTTACATGTAGAGAACATCATGCGAAATGCCAGGCTGGATGAGGCACAAGCTGGAATCAAGATTACCGGGAAAAATATCAGTAACCTCAAGATATGCAGATGATACCACCCTTATGGCCGGAAGCAAAGAACCAAAGAGCCACTTGATGAAAGAGGAGAGTGAAAAAGTTGGCTTAAAACTCAACATTCAGAAAACTAAGATCATGGCATCCAGTCCCATTACTTTGTGTCTAATAGATGGGGAAACGAGAGACTCTTTTTGGGGGCTGCAAAATCACTGCAGAGGGTGACTGCAGCCATGAAATTAAAAGACGCTTGCCCATTGGAAGAAAAGTTATGAGCAACCTAGACAGCATATTAATTATTTTGTTTTGCCAACAAGACAAAATTATTTTGCTGTCTACTTACTCAAGGCTGTGTTTTTTCCAGTAGTCATATATGGATGTGAGAGTTGGACTATAAAGAAAGCTGACTGCCGAATAATTGATGCTTTTGAACTGTGGTGTTGGAGAAGACTCTTGAGAGTCCCTTTGACTGCAAGGAGATCCAACCCGTCCATTGTAAAGGAAATCAGTCCTGAATATTCACTGGAAGGACTGATGCTGAAGCTGAAACTCCAATTCTTTGGCCACCTGATGTGAAGAACTGACTCATTTGAAAAGACAGTGATGCTGGGAAAGATTGAGGGTGGAAGGAGAAGTGGACGACGGAGGATGAGATGGTTGGATGGCATCACTGACTCAATGCACATGGGTTTGAGTAAACTGGGAGTTGGTGATGGACAGGGAAGCCTGGTGTGCTGCAGTCCATGGGATCACAAAGAGTCAGACATGACTGAGGGACTGGACTGAACTGAAAGTCAGCCCAGATGGTAAAATAATATGTAGCCAAAGCTATCCTTGGAAATCTATTAGGGAGGCACCATGTTGGGTATAGGTATACCAGTGTAGCAAAATTCCAACTTGACCAGATTTTTCTCCAGCTTTGAAACAGATGCTATTTTTTTCTTTGAGTTTTAGATAAAGTAGTTGGTTTGCATTTAAGAAGCACTGTGTGTGAAAAATATAGCTCATATTAGAATTACATACAGTGAGGGGGAAGTACTTACATTCTGAGAGGCATGGATGAGTTGGGGAGTTGAGAATCAGCTAAGGGAACCAATATTTAAATTGTTATCTTTTTTTCTTCCAGTGGATCTATCAGTAGATAAATTCAAGGTAAATGAGCATATGATGAAACTGTTCTTATGCTGTGGAAAGATACATTGCTTGTGTTTTCTAGATGTCTTGCAAAAAGAGGTTACTTCAAATTGCTGTTTATAATAAACATTCTACATATGAATTGCATTTGCTAATGCTGTGCCCTCATTTTTAGATTTTTTTAGTCCTCTTTGCTAATGGAGTAGGTTAAATAAGCCTCAGTGTTAGAAGAGTGACTGAGAATTACTTTATCTAGTAATAAGTGCTAACAGACTGTTCTGTTAGTAGTTGTCATGCTCTGAAGTTGGCTTGATTTAAGTTACTGTAGCTTGATAGAAGTGCCTTCTGGCCAGAAAGCAGTCTTTTCTAGAATGATTTTTAGTTTGCCAAATTCCTCTTAGTTTCTGTCCTACATTTTAAAATCTCACGTGACTTGAACATCAGGATAATGTTGGAAGAGCAGTACTTAAGTATATTTACTAACAGAAAAAAACGTGGATTGGCCTATTGTTTTTGCTCCCTTTGGGGAAGTCTTAGAACATTGTGACACAGAGATCTGATCTGCCCTGGTGTATTTTTACAAGTACAGTGTATCTAATGTTAGAAATTAGGAGGGTATGGTGGCCAGTTATGTAAACACTTAAGTAGTCTGCCATCACAAAATTCAAATCCAGAGGGAACCAGATCTCATTTACTTGCATCATGGCACAAGCTAAATGAAATAATTTTCATGTCAGCAATGGCAATTATCTTGGGAGCAGCAATTTAAGTTTTGTTTTTTGAAACTTATATAGCATGTTGTGCATAAACCCATTCTGTCTCACCAATCTGGAAATTAAATACTACAATCTCCAGTACAAACACAATAGTGCAGTGTTTAACATTTATTTCAGCTTGAAATATAAGAACATTGTTTCTTTGGCTGTCAAGCAAATTTGAAAATTTGCATCAGTTTGAAACTTTTAAGTTGGGACAAAGTGATTTTGGTATGGTTTTGGATTTCCATGAATTCTCTATTTGAAGAACTTATATAATCCTTTTAAAAATACTGTACTGTTTAATTTGATAATTGAACTTGAATCACCATAAAAAAGTGCTATGAGAGTAAAGAAAAGTTGGCACAGTTATTCTTTCTAAAATTAAACACAATAAGGACAAAATAAGCATTCTCAATGTAAATCTTCATCCCTAAATGAATTTTTATCATTAGATTTCCAGACCCCTGGACTTTTGTTTATTTGTGTTTTGTTTTTAATTATTCTAACCAAAGAGGAAAATAAGAGACTTGTGAAAATTTAGGTAAGTTGTAGGAATTAGAAATAAACACTTTAGTTTCTGATTTCTCTGCTTCTGGAAGAAGGTAAATAAGTTGAGGGTAGAAATCACCTTTCTGTTGCAAAATAAACAGCTAATGAATGTTGGATTCTTCAGAGAAAAATGGTTTGTGTAAGAACTTTTTAGTATGAGAGCGTTTTTTTTTTTTTTAGTTAGCTGAAATTAAAGGAAAGTAGCAAGAGTTATTCTTGAAGAAGATGTCAGTTATCTAATATAGTAAGGTGATGTAATCTTTGGTCCTGTGTTTCCTATTGCACAAGTTGTATGATGTTTGAATAAAATTCCCTATGGGACAAAGACACATTAGTGAATACTTGTTTGATGACTGTTATTTTCTGTAATTTACATTGGACAGTATCTAAGGATATGTATGTGAGAGCATTCCTCTCTGCTTCAATTCTTCAAATTCTCTCCCTGGTTGGTTTATCCAGTAAGTATTTCTTATATACTTAATATATGCCAGACACTGTGCTAATAAGCACTGTGGATACAAAGAGCTTTTGGAATAGTTGTAAGTGATAAAACACAGTGAATAAATGCTATAGTAGACTTAGAAATAGCTCAAATAGGGGCCAGAGGAGAAACTGAGAGATTAATAGAATGCTCTTAGAGTAGTTTGTGCAAGATGAGGCCCTGAAAAGAAGACATTAGAAAGGAAAGGATGAATTAGAGATCATTGTGAAATAGAAACAACAGAACTTGGTGACTAGTGGGATGTAAGGGAATAAGGAAAAAGGAGTCTTAAGTATATGCCCAGGTTTTCAGCTTGGGAAACTGGGTTGATCCCTATTTGTGCCCTTCATTACTGCCTCTTAGCTGTACCGTTTACTTTGGTAATTCATTATATACACTGTTATCTGTTAGGAACTAGTACAAGAGTACTAGCTCTTTAAAGTTTATTTTCTTTATGCACCCCCATAGAATTTGCACAATGCTGGACACAGAGTTAAGCAGTCAGCATGATGTTGAGTTTATTTAAATTGAATTAATAATAAAACAATAAAAGAACTATAGTAAAGGGGAATTATAGAATTACCAAATACATATACATGGAAGCTTTTCCTGATTTCCCTCAGTTTCATCTGATCCCTTCCCACTTCACTTGTCATGGTTGTTTATGTCACTGATTTATTTCTCCTACACTCCTTGAGCACAGGGTTATATATTTCTCTCACTCCCATAACCAGAGCTCAGCATAGCTCTTTGCAATAATGACAGACCTTTTAAAGCATTTTTAAGTAGGTCCCAAACACTGTGCTAAGGGCTTTACATGAATTATCTAGTTTATCTCACAGAAACTTTATGTTGTGCAGTACTCTTAATCTCCATTGATGAGTATAATCTGTGGATTAGAAAACTAAAGCTTAGATGAGTTAAATGACTTCCCCTAAATCATAAAACTTAACAAGTGTCAGAACCAAGGTCTCTTGATCTCAGAATCTATAATCATCATTACCTGTTTTCCCTCCTGTAAGGAGACTGCAACAGAAGGTATCTGTTATATGTTGGTTGAATTAGATTAAGTTGTCATGAAAAGTGTCTGAAGTTAAGCTAGCTTCTCGGCAGTACTTATTGATAGGGAAGTTTTGAATATTTCTGGAGAAGGAATATTCTGAATATTGTCTAGCATACTGAGGACTATGACTACTTGTTCATAAACATTTTCTGTCCTTTGACCTTTCCAGATATAGAAAATTCATTAACCAGAGGGCCACTGGTGGCATTGCAGGCAAGAAGGGAATAGTAGTTGAAGTGCCAGGGAATAAGGACCTATAGGAGATGTGCAAATTGAAGAAAGAGATGGTTGAAGCAGTCTGTGTTTAGTGTTGGTCCTTTTAAATTCACAGAAATGTTTTCTAATTAGGCATGGCCATCTAGTTTTATTTTGGGAATGAGGGAATGTTGGGATTATGTTAGGCTTTTTAAAGAACAGATTTTTACAAGTGCTCCTTAGTTTTGACAGTGTGACTTTTCTCAGGAAGCCAACCCATTGAGAGAATTAGAATTTTTTTCTGTCAAATTATAAACCCATTGTCTTTAAATTTCCTTTTTAAAACGTGCTTCTGCCTTGTTTTCTTTTTCATTAACCAACCGTGATTCTTGATTTAGTCCTACATGTGAAAGATGGGGAAATAGCACAGGCAAACTCTTTGGGTAAAAGTTCAGTTCTAACACTTGAGAAAAACAATGAGAAGGAGAGTAGCAATGTCTTGGAATCCCATAAATTTGTCTTTTTCCAAAAGTAATTGATAAATGTTGGGAAAATTCTTATTCTCTAAGAGTTTCTGTTTCAAATTCAAACCTTTGTTTACATGTATTTTAAAGGCTCTGACCCTTGAGTTTCAGGGATTTTTTTTTTAAGTCAAATGAATTCTTTTTTAAAGTCAAATTCATTTTTTTTTTAAGTCAAATGAATTCTTCTTTATCCAAAAACTCAACAGGCTATAAAAATTAAATAGATGGCTTTACTTCCTTAGTTCTGCATTATAAGAATAAATCTTGAGTCTGAATTCTTATTTAGATGGAAGCATGTAAGATTCAAGGTTTTTGTTTTGAACTGTAAGAAGAGTTCTTTCAGTATTTATATTTTATTTTTTCAAGTGTAACGAGTAAAGAGATGGATTCAATGGCATGCCAGTTGTATTACCATATCCTAATATTGCTTTCCCAGGTTTAAATCCTAACAGTTTAAGTTCACTGTTTTGAGACAGTTTTTTCATGTTTTTATAAGATTAAAGGAACTAGGAATGCTTGACCTAGAAAAGTGACAAATTAGGAGGAAAATGGGAGTTCTTTTCAAACAACTGAAGCATTGTCGTGTTGAAAAAGGGATTTGGCTTCTTTTGTGTAGTCCCACTGGATTCAACCTATGTGTACAATTTATAGGAAGAGAGATTTCAGTTCAGTTTAAGGAATAACTATCATGCTAGTCATCTGCTCAGAGAGAGAGTCAGCTGCCTGAAGGGAGTGCAGTTTTAAAGTATGGGTTAGATGAAAATCTTCTGGGTATGAATGGTGGGTTCTGTTGCCAGATGGAGAATTGTTTGAGGTGGGCTGTGAGGACCCATCACATTCTGAATTACTTCCCAGTAAATAAGGGTGAGAGGAAGAAACCAGACAGCCAATATAGGATGAGGAAGGAGAGCTACAGCTGAGAAAGAGGACAGTGAGGGTCTAAATTGTCTCTCCCATCCATTAGAGTTCTACATCTTTGATGTTTTCTCTGCCAGAAACATTTAAGAAAATGTTGGCTCTTGTTCCATAAGAGGTCGTTCTGCAAAACTTTAGGAATTTTTGGCATGGTCACAGAGACGGAACAATTCTCTCTCTGTAATAGGCCTTTGGCTGGAGTCATCGAGTAATGCTAAGTCAGAAATGTCCAGGGTTATGAGCTTTAGGTAGGAGCAACAACTTGTGTCCATTGATTTGGTTTTGTTTCTAGTAAATTTAAAAATTTTCTGTGTTGTTACAATGAACTGAACTTCAACAGTAGGATTTAGGCAAAGACTATTCTTTTGTTCTGCATGTTTGGATTTATTTCCTCCATTTCCATTTTCGTCTTCGCTAGAGGAAGATGTTCCATGAACATTCTCAGCACTGGAATTTGATATAAGAAGAAAGCTGAAATTGACGTGTCCTTCTTAAGGAAGATCCCTGGTTTCTGGGGAGGGGTATGATTAAGTGGGTAAGAGTATGAATTTTTGCTCTCAGCTGATTCTCAGCTCCACCATTCACCACCTTAGAATTATTCCAGGTCCTCTTACTGACTTTGTAGATAAACATAGATATTGATAAAACTACATAATACATTAAAAAAATGTAATCCTGTGCTTTTGTCAGTGACTTATGAGTTAAACTACTTGAGGATTTCCAGTTCAAGGCTGAAGGAAGTTTTGAGGTAGTCTGTTGCTTGGGGGAGACAGAGTTTAATTTCCTTGTTTCTCTTCAGAATTTTAATTACAGTTCTCACTTGAAATATTTTGTTTGTTTTTTAGACTGTTCCATTATGGATGGAGGGGATGACGGTAACCTTGTTATCAAAAAGAGGTTTGTATCTGAGGCAGAGCTAGATGAACGGCGCAAAAGGAGACAAGAAGAATGGGAAAAAGTTCGAAAACCTGAAGATCCAGAAGGTATATAGGCTCACAGATCTTTAATCCTCACAACCCTGCAGGCTATTAACATCACTTTAGAGTAGAAGAACTGAGGCTGAGGGGGGTGAAGGGACCTAGGTGAGGTCTCCGTAGCTCGGAGCAGATCAGGATCCGCGCCTCCACACCCTTTCCGCTCTACCGCACTCTATTCCAGAGGATTCCACTGGTCTTCTAGCCAGTCAGGTGGATCCACGGTCTGAATAGCTGAGAGTGCTGCTATCATGCAGGGCTTGTTTTGGGTGGATCTCTCACCCAGTTAGCTGTCTCAGTCCATGGGCCCTGTTCACACTCACAGTTGGCTTTGGGAACTGCTGGCTCCTGTCTGAGGTCTAGAGGGAAGCTGTGAACTTTGTACTATTTTTGTGTTATCTTTGCCCTCAGATCATGCAGAGACTTGACTTTATCTTTAAATCCTTTGTGATTCCAAAATAATATGAATGGATTGTAAAGTATGTATTTTCCCCCCCTCCCTTTTCTTTCAGAATGCCCAGAGGAGGTTTATGACCCTCGGTCTCTGTATGAAAGGCTACAGGAACAGAAAGACAGGAAGCAGCAGGAGTATGAAGAACAGTTCAAATTCAGTAAGCTTCAGAAAAAACAGCATCTGAGGGACTCTCCAGGGCCTTTTTGGTGCACTTTTGCCTTGTGCAACACTTTTTCTAACCAGCCATGAAATTGTCTTGATTATCTAGTCTCTAGGTGCTCATTTGGTGGAAAAGAGACAGCTTTCTACCATCTAGACCACATTGAGCATTTTTGCTTAGAACTCAGTATACCCATTTTAATTCTATGCTAACATCTAGTAATGGGAGAGCTGCTTTGATTTTATGCCATGTTATCTATCCAAAAGCTTTGGTGTTTACAAATTCTTTCTTCTAATCCCCTGAACAATCTGCTGTTTATTAAAAAACAGGACAAGGAAAAATCTTGACTATATTTTCCCTTTAGCCTGCTTTAAGTGTTCCTTGTTTAATTATTTCCTCAGAAAATATGGTAAGAGGCTTAGACGAAGATGAGACCAACTTCCTTGATGAGGTTTCTCGGCAGCAAGAACTAATAGAAAAACAGCGAAGAGAAGAAGAACTGAAAGAACTGAAGGAATACAGAATATCCTTTGTACTTTGCTAGGAATCTATAAGGTGTCAGTTTCTCATCAACATCTATGCATTTCAGTTTTTTCATTATAATTCTGCCTCGTCATCTTTAAGTTCCCTTTCAACTCTGATGTTCCTGTGATGCTGAATAACTGGCAGCAATATGTAGAGTTATGTTGCGTGCAAGAGTCTGTTGCAATCAAAAGTCCAGATCCTTTAGGATTAACTGAAGGCCTAAATCCTAATGGTCAGTACCACAGTATTCTTGCCTTGTGAGATTAGACTCTGAAACAGATGGGCAATGCAATAAACCTCATCCAGGGGAGAAACTGGCTTCTGGGTTTTTTAAAGGAAATTTTTAGCCACCCTCCTGTGTCCTCAGACCTTCCCTACAGATAAAGCCTGGTCTGTCTCCATAGAGGGGTAGGGAAAGCAGCCAAGAGGACCTTGCTTTGGCTCACTGTTATCTTTCTGGCATCCACTTGCATGTCTTACTAGGCATCCCAAATGTAACTTGGCTGAATCAAAATTCTCAGTTCTATGCCTCACTACTCCTACTTTCACTATACTACCTTCCTCCAAATCTCTTCTTTTTCTGGTATCTGCCAGACTACCTCCAAAATGTATTCCAAATCTTCCAGCTCTTACTGCCACTGCAGTAGTCGTAGACCTTCTCTGGACTATGTGACCATCTAATTGTCTCTGCTGCTGTTCTTCTCCCTCCCAGTCCATTTCTCTAGACGATAGTCTGGGGAACTTTTGAAAACATATGTGGGATCATATAACTTTCCTGTTTCAAACACTAGTGGCTTCCTGTTGCATTTAGACTTAAAATCTGCATTCTTAACCAGGTCCTACAAGGTTCTGCATGATTTAGACCAACTCACCTCCCTGTTTTATCTTGAACTACTCTTCTTCACGTTTACTACACTCCAGCTTACTGCCCTTCTTTATGTTCTTCTCATACTGAGCTCTGTGATTCCATTTCAAGGCATTTGTATTTGCTGTTTCCTCAGCCTGGAATGCTCTGCCCTCAGATTTTACAGTTTACAGGGCTGGCATTTCATGACACTTGGGTCTCAGCTCCCTTCCTCATAAAGATCTTCCCTAAGCATTCCATCTAAAGTTGCAGCCACCTGCATCACTATTTAGACTGTCATTTTTTTAAATAGTCTGTCACTACCCGAAAATCTTAAATTATATACTTACAGGCTTGTTTGCCTCTCTACTGCTGGAATATAAAGTAAGCACTGTAAGAACACAGACTTGATTACCACTGCTTTCTCCAGCGCTTGGTGTAGAGTAGCTTCTCAGTGTATGTGTGAAGAGATTAACGAATGACTCATAGCAGAGGTTAAAAAGGCCACCTTAGCATCTTCCTCCTGTGAGAAAGCTTATTTGAGTATTTCAAGCTTATATGTTGAATAACCTCAGTAGTGTGATTTAACAGGCTTTTTTACCTCTAAGATTGGTGCTATGACTGTGTGTATGCACTAGTTGGTGGTGTTTTTTGCAGAGTGTGTGCAGTAGGTCCCATTAAAGAGTTATGTAGGAGAAAATGTGAACAGATTCCCAGGAATTTGGTTAAAGACAAGGTGACTGATGGTGATTGAGATAAGGTAGCAACATGCTGTCACAAAACGTGCTCTGAACAGGTAGTGAGAGACGTGGCTTCTAGTCTCTGTTTTCCAGGTGGAATTCTGGTATAACACTAAGATAGAAGTTGATAGAAAAATCACACCTCCATCCCAACTGTAGGATTGAGGTTGATTCTTCTGAAGCTTCCCTCCCCCACTCTATTGCGTCATGACCCCAGGATGGTATTATGCATTGATATTTGCAGAGATGGGCAGGTATATGTACTGCATATACTCCATTGTTTCAGGCATCCAGCTTTTTCCTCTAAGGAAAAAATACATTACATTTTCACTTGAATTACATCTTGTTTTATGTGCTTAATTTGGCAGGAAAGCAAATAAGACAGTGTCTCCCAAGGCAACATTCTGGAGAGTATTGTTGGTGTGGCATGAGTATGAGAGGCCCTTGGGTTTTCAGTTCAAAGGGAAGGATGAACAGGGCAGCTGTGAGGCAAAAGAAACTCTTCTGTCCTGATAACATTGCAGTACAACATTGAAGAGGCTCCAGGGTTATTGGCTTTTATTGGAGACTTGGAAAGTTCTGTCTAGAAAAACTGAAACAAAGCAAGTCTTCCAGCCCACTGATGTATAATGTGCCAATCCCAAGCATGCATGTAGCCCGAGACATGTTGAGGTAGGAATTGGGGTTCAGACATCTCTTTATTAAAGCTCTAAATCAGGAGATGGTTCTTGGTTTTGCTTGGTTGGTATAAGATATATTTTATAATGTGATACTTGGGAATACAAGTAAGCTGCAGTTTGTGCCAGTATAAACAGAACTTTTGTTTTCTTTAGGTTAGAACAGTATTTATTAATATGTGTGTTCAAATACGATGTGACCTTTTAAAAACTGCTTCATGTAGTCTATTCCTTGAGACTTTTGAAATGTATTTGTATATTTAAAACATTTTAGGGGGAGAGAGGGTCTTAAGGGGGAAAAAGGACTGCGGCTTTGGATGTGGATCAAAAATATTGTTACCATCTCCCTCTCTACCCACCAAAAAAGAAGTTGAGAGCTTTTCTTCACTTAAGAAGAATAAAAAGTTAAATGTTGGTTTTTGTGTTTGTCTTGGTATTAGAAATGTGTGATTTTGTTAAGTTTTTTCTGTTGTACTTGAAAGTTTCTATCCTTTATGGTGGAGTTGTAGGTAAAAATCACAGCATGCTCATGGTTTTTGGTATTCTGTACTAGAAAGATGAAATTTCTATTTCATTTTTATTCTAAAAAAAAAGAACATTTAGTATTAACATCAGTTTCCATGATTACCTTAAAAACATTAAATATAAATAGATGAAACTCAGAGTAATGCTGAGTATAAAGTATAATCCCTGTTGAATATTACAAATGTTTAAGATAACTGGTTCCCACAAGAATTGAGTGTCTGAAAATTAGACACTAGAATTAGAAATTAAAATTTCCTAATTTCTGGTACCCGGTTTTTCCATTGCTCAAAGATACAGGAATAGTTTAGACTGTATAGTCCCACCTCCATTCCTTTGGGCTGATAATACATACGTCTTAGATATCTTGAGCACTAGATGTCGCTGTTGTTCCAGCAAGGCACCACTGCATCTTAAGTAAGGAATTGCACATGTTCTAGTACTTATCTATTGACTAATAGGTTGTGAGAGAGCATGAAAGGGAAGGAGAGGAGGGGGCTGGTGAAGAGAACAAAAGAAATTGACATCAAGCTTGAAAATAGTATGTAACAAATGAACTGGTTTTATGCTTCTAAATAGCTTTTCACTCCTTGTGTTGTCTCTGCACAGGGGTTTCTCATTAAAATCACCTTCAGAGTGTTTAATACAGGTTCCTGGGCCTCTGGAAGTCCTCATTCAGTAAGTAGGTTTGGGACAGGGGAGGGACCCTGTTTTTAAATGAGCCTTAAGATGATTCTGATTTGTCTTACATCCGCAGAATAGGAGTTAGTCTTATCTAAAGCTGAATGCTACTAATAGTCATAGGACACTCTGAAAAATTTTATTTTATCCTTAGAGGGAAAGGCAAATAATTTTTCTGCATTCAGGGAAGCTACACTTTTTTCTGTTGGATTCTTCAGGATCTTCGTTTTCCCCAACAAGTGTGATGTTGGCCATGTTTTTGGTAATAGCAGGTGTTCTGGTCCTCCTCAGGATTTTCTTTGGGAAGCAAAGGGAAAAAACTTGCTTCTCTGTATTATTTTGGGCTTGCTTTGCCATCTTCCTCCTAGTCATCTTCATTTTTCTTTAAATAAGCTGGATTTGACTGGGAGAATAAAGAGGGGAGGGCATTTTTTTTTTCCTTTGGCAGTGCTTCTTAGCATGTGAAATCTTAGTTTCCCAACCAAGGATTGAATCCATCCCCCTGCAGTGGAAACATGGAGTCCTAAACACTGGACTGCAAGAAAAGTCTGGGGAGTCTAAATAAGTAGGCCAAACATTCCATGGCAGAGCTGAAGTGCTCATGAGTTACAGGTGCCTTCCACGTCTTGATTTATCACTGTCCTGCTATAGCTCTTCTTTTTGCTTAGTTTGATCCTTAACCTGTAACTCACAGTAATCTCAACAAGGTTGGAATTTCTTCAGAAAACAAGAAGGAAGTGGAGAAGAAAGCTGTGAAGCCCATAGAAACCAAGAACAAGTTCTCCCAGGCAAAGCTGTTGGCAGGAGCTGTGAAGCATAAGAGGTCAGCCCGCATTCACACGACTTTAATCTCCCTCTGACTGTGTGCCCCAAAATGCCAGAGTAATGGTAGTCAGAAAAAAGTTACCTAGGCACAGGTCTTGGTGAAGTTCCTTGGTGGCCCTCCCTCGCTCTCCTATCAGATTTGGTGTCTTCTGATGCCTTTGACCTTTGTGTCTCTCTTCGTTGAACATAATAATCACTCTTCAATGGACACTTAAGTACTTTCAATGCAGGTGATATTTTATTCCTCTATAAAGTACAGAGACTGAGAATCTCAGAGGTTGAGTACCTTTGTCCAAAGTTGGAAAGTAACAGGAGACGTGGAATTCAACATTTGAGCATCTGTGTTTCTAGGCAAACAAGGTAGCAAGTTCTGTGGAAGGATTTATATAGAGTGTAATGAGAGTAGGGAGGAGGAATAACTGCCTGGAGTGGGTATATGTGACTCGTATGGGGGAAGTTAAGGAAGGCATTAGAAAGGAGACTGATTAGGTAGGACTATGAGGGCTTTAATAGGCAGACAAGGAGAGCGGAACAGCCCAGGCTGGAAGAAGAGCTGGGGCAAAGGCCCTGAGGTCTGTAAGAAGGTGGCAGCTATGACAGGGTTACACACCTGGCTGGGACGCTGCTTGTTTGATGTGGGGTGGCAGCACTTCTAGAGGTTTTGATAAGTTCTCTGTTCCTCCACTTTCAAACCCTGAAATGGCACCAAAGTGATTAAATTTGGTCATTTCAATTTCACCAATTCTACTATAAGCAAAATGATACTAAGTTGAAGTGCAGTCTGTTAGGAAAATCAATATGGTATTTTGGCAGCCAGCCACATGTTTTGAAGAAAGTGCATTGATGGAGTTTTGTGGTTTGGAAAACACTGAATGCTGGAACAGTTTCTTGGAAACATTGCTTGCAACATTGTTTATATGTAAAAATGTCATCATGGCATAGCAGCAAAGGGGAGGCACATCAGAGGCCTGAAAAGGGCCAGTTACCCAAGCCATGGATCGTTCCTTTCAACTTTTCATATAAACTTGATATGGTCCAGTATCTTTGGGGATTTGGACCTGGGTCAGTTGTACTGGGCTGTACCAAGAGGGGGCTCTCTAGGTAGCCAGTCAGTGTCTCTAGTGTCTTGCTTCTAGCAGAATGGGTGTTGTAAGTATCTCTCCTGGTCCTTGTGCTGTGCTGTGCTGAGTCGCTCAGCCGTGTCTGGCTCTTTGCGACCCCATGGACTGTTCCCTTCAGGCTCCTCTGTCCGTGGGGATTTTCCAGGAAGGATGCTGACAGGGCTTTCCATGCCTTCCTCCAGAGGATCTTCCTAACCCAGGATCAAACTCAGGTCTCTACCATCTGAGCCACCAGGGAAGCCCTCCTAGTCCCTATATACCACCTTTTATTAGATCGTCCTTTATTGTTTTGTGCAGGTAATAAATGAGTCTCCTGGGGCAGGCGTTCCTGATCTACCCAGCTTTGGGTTTATTAGAGTCAGCTGGGAGTTAATCCTGTGGATTGCCTCACACTGATTCCGCTCAGTATGGAGTGAGGTCTGGGAGTCTTAATTTTTCAAGTTCATGGATGACTGTAATGCTGAGTGAAAGTCTGATGCCTGATGTGTGTGTGAAGAGAGAGAAGTCTCTCAGTCGTGTCTGACTTTTTGCAACCCCAAGGACTGTAGCCTTCCAGGCTCCTCCATCCATGGGATTGTCCAGGCAAGAGTACTGGAGTGGGTTGCCATTTCCTTCTCTAAAGGATCGAACCCAGGTCTCCCACACTGCAGGCAGACACTTTACCGACTGAGCCGCCAGGGAAGCATGCATGGTAATAAAACAAGAACCCGTGAACCCGTCACTCATCTTAAGACCTCGAGCATTAGTGATACCGAGTCTGCCTCTGTGCTCTTCCCCATTTAGTCTCCCTTCCTTGTCATCCTCACACCACTTTCCTAAGTCTAGTTCATCATTCTTTTGTCTTTCTTTACTTAGTAGGGTTTTTTTTTGCTTCCTATATAGGTAACCATGAACCATATAATAACTTCCTTGTTTTTGAACTTTATTAAAAATGATTTCATTGTCAGTACACCATCTTCTGTGAATTTGGCTTTTCGCTCAAATTGTTTCTGTGACTAAAACAGTTTTGTGTATATGCGGCTGTAATTCATTCACTTTCATTGCTGTTTAATAGTGCATTATTTGAGATTCAAACTTTGTTCATTCTCCTGTGAATGAATGTTTGAATTATGACACATGGTGCTGATGGGCTAAGGACAAACTGTACATATGTGCATGTTTCTCTAGAGTCATGTGTCCAGTATGATAGCCCCTGACTACCTGTGGTTATGTAAATTTAATTAAAATTAAATGAAATTTAAAATGCAGTCCCCTAGCCATAGTAATCACATTTTAAGTATTAAATTACTCCATGTGGCTTCTTGCTACCCTAGGGGATAGCACAGATACATCAATAAAGTGATTTATAAAATAGTATCTCCTTATGGTCTTAATTTGCATTCCCCTGTTAGCAAATGTAGTTGACATTTTATTTTATTTATTTATTTATTTGACATTTTATATGTTGGTTTGCCATTCATGTGTCCCATTGTCCTAAAAGATCTGTTGATTTATATTGCCATTTTTTTACTCGGTTATTTGTAATTTTCTTACTGGTTCACAGGCTTTTTTTTTTTTTAAACATTTTTTCCTACAGTTTATAGCTTATCTTTTTAATTTTAAAGTGGTCAAATACATTTAATTTTAAGATGGTTGGTTTTAAAAAACTGATATATAATTGATGTATAACAGTTTCAAATATGCAACATAATGTTTTGATAATATATATGTATATATAGTGAAATGATGGCCACGATAAGTCTAGTTGAGATAGTTACACATAGTTTGCATCATACATAGTTATACACTTTTTTCTTGTGATGAGAACTTCTAAGATCTACTCTTAGCAGCTTTCAAATATACAATACTATATCATTAACTATAGTCATCATAATGTACATTATATCCTCAGAATATATTTTTTTGATATAAGGTACATTCTTCTTAGGGATGTCTTGTCTATTTTTGGCCACTTCATTCTTCTATATAAATTTTAGATGTAGTTTTAAGTTCTTTAACAGTCCCTATTGGGATTTTTATTGAAATGTTATTAAATTGCTTGTTAAATTTATGGGGAGATCAGATCTTTATATTTTTGAGCCTTTATTCATGGTTTATATCTACATTTGTTTGTTCGCTTCAGTTAAAGTCATTCACTAAAGTCTTAAGAGTTTTGTTGTTTTTTTTCAAAGATGTTGTACATGTCCTTGATTAGATTTATTCCTAGGTATTTTATATTTTTTTGTTGCTGGTAAATAAAAATGCAGTTGATTTTAGTATATTTTTATCCAGCTACCCAACTTTTATTAACTTTACTAATAATTCTTATCAACTGTAATAATTTATTGGTAGATTCTCTGAAATTCCTTTGTAGAAAGTCACTAAATGATGACAGTTTTTTCCTTATACCTTTTAATTCCTTTTTCTTATTGAGCTGGTTGGGACTATCAGCAAAATACTAGAACAGTTACTGTGCACATCCTTGTTTTATCTCTAAATATTAAACCGAATGCTTATAACTTTTCACTGCTAAGGATGGTATTTGTAGTTCTGTTCCTAGTTTAAGAGGGTTTTGTTTTGTTTGTAGCCATGAATTATTAAATCTTGTCAGTTTTTTCCTGCTTTTGAATTGATAAAATTTTCTTTTTTACTGTTAGAGTGAAAAAATAAAGATCTTTCTGATGTTGCGCTCTTGGTGATAAACCCAATTTGCAGTGATATATTTTCTTCTTTTTTTTTAAACTTTGCTGGATTTGGTTTGCTAATGTTTTGTATAGGTTGTTGCATTTTTTATCAAGATTGAGACTGGCCTGTACTTTTTTCCCCCACTTTATCTGATTTTGATGTGAAAATTAAACCTAACTTCACAGAATGATTTAGGGAGTGTTCTTTCTTTTTCTGTTTTCTAGAGGAGTTTGTATAAGATAGTAGTGTTTTTTTACAAAGGTTTTGTAGAACTCATTAAATCACTTTGGGCCCCTCTTTTTTATTTTGTGACTATACGACTATCTACCTTTCTCCAAATCTTTTTGAGTCAGTTTTTTTAGTTGTATTTTCTGGGAATTTGTTCATTTTGTCTTTTTTCAAATGCATTAGCTAAATTGTCAGTATTCTTTATTTTTCTAACTGCTCTTGTCCCCTTTTCACCCCAAATATTGAAAAGTTGTACTTTTATTCTTATTTTGACTATTTTCTTGAGAAGGTAGTCTCTGTTTTATTAGCCTTTTCAAAGGCCTTTTGAATTTAGTTCTTATTATTTTTGCTCTTTAATGTCTTCTGCATTCTTTCTTTGAAATATTCTTTACTTTCTCAAGTTTACACTTTTATTATTTCTGTTACAAACAACTGTCAGATACCAAAGTAATTAATTTTCAGCTCTTCTTTTCAGTTATAGGCATCTAAAGCTATAGTTTTTCCTCACCTTTCATTGTATACAATTTTCTGTTTCCAAGTAAGTATTTTTAAATATCCATTTTGATTTCTTTCTTGACTCATGACTTAGAGACATTTATTCCAAACATCCTGAGGTAGTTCAGTTCAGTCGCTCAGTCGTGTCCGACTCTTTGCAACCCCATGGACTGCAGCATGCCAGGCTTCCCTGTCCATCACCACTGGGATACACTGAGATACATCAAGATACTGAGGTAACTTAACCATATTTCATTGGTTCCAAGATGAACCTTCTTCCCCCCACATTTTAATACCTGTAATCAGTGATGGCCTAGAGTCTCTGAAATATAATCTTTCTTTTGTTATCAATTTCTGCCTTAATTGCATTGTGGTTTATGTTTACTAATTCTTTTGAAATTACTTAGCTTTGCTTTGTGACCTTTTCCTGAGATTAATTTTTGTGAATGTTCCAAGTTAAGGAGAATTTGTGTTATGTGATTTTTCTGGGTTGTATGTAGGTACAGCAAAACAAACTTGTGGATTGTATTGTTCAGATCTTCTGTGTCTTTGTGTGCTTGTTCTCTTAGTCCTTGAGGGGAGTATTCTGAAATCTCCCATTATTGTAATGATTTCTCGATTTTTCTTCAGAGTCTATTGAATATATTTTTAAGCTCTTTAAGTAGAAGCATAGATGTTTGGGATTGTTATTTCTTTGTAGTGATTTAAACTTTGTTTCATTATAAACTAACCTTCTTATCCCTTGTAATACTTCTGGTTTTAAAGTCTGTTTTCTTAATATAGGTGCCCCAGCCTTCTTTGGGTTAGTATTAGCTATGCTAACTCTTTTTCCATTCCTTTACTGTAAATATTTCTATGTCATAAGTTGTTTGTTTTGCTTCTGTTAAGTTTTTAGTTAATCATAAATAGCTGACTTGAAATCATCTGTTAAACTCTCTTTATAGGTAGGCTTGGACTTACTAGGATTTTTTTGTATAGTTTTTACTGTCTTTTCTAAAAATAATTTTTTGATCATCCCATGTGACTTGCAGGATCTCAGTTCCCAGACCAGGGACTGAATGTGGACCATGGCAGTGAAAGCCTGGAATCCTAACCACTAGGCCACCAAGGAGCTCTGCAGTTTCTACTGTCTAATGTTATTTGTCTTTTACTTGAAAACTCTTTTCGTTATATTCTTTTTATTAAAATTTTGATTATAATTGTAAAATTTTTAATTCTTTTTTTTTCTTTCTGTTAGTTCGGATTTATGTATTCTGTTTCTGTTCTTTTGTGCCTTAAGTTGGCAATTTACCAGGACTACTTAGCAAAACCATAAAGTAAATAGCTGTCTTACTTGCCTGCAAAATTATCCATAGATCTTAGAACTTTTAGCCATAATAACCTTCTTCCTTCCCTGTCCAGGACTTTAGTGTGGTCATGTTTAATACCACAAATTAGATGTTTTTTTTATAGAGACAATGTTTAGATTTGTATTGGCCAGTTTCTTTGTTCACCATCTCTTCCTTTTGGGATTAAGGCCTTCCTTCTAGAACTATTTTCTTCCTCTTTGAATTGCATTTTTTTTCTCACTGTCCTAAATTGTTTAATAGGTACAAATTTACAAACACTACATATATTAGTAGTAATGCTGGACCTGGAGAACATTGTGCATTTTCTGAGCTGCGTGGTGAGAGAAGTACATTCTTTAGATAATCTTTTAGTGAAGGTATTTTGGGTGACGTTCAGACTCTCTAGGATGTCACTAAAGATATTTCCTTTAGTCTTTAATAACTACATTTTTGTCATTTATAAACATGTCCAGATATTCTTGAAATCGATCTGTGGTTCTAACCAAGATGAATGATGACAATAAAGAATCTGATGTTTAAGTGATAGTTGAGGATGTAATACTTCACCCCTTGAATTGGTCAGAGGTTTAAATTCTTTACAACAAAAATTTAATTGTTCTCTAAAGCAATTGTCCTTGAATTAAAAAATAGATTTTAAAAAAATAATATAATTGGAAGGAGATTAAGAAGCTGAAATGAAGACTTTTTAGATCATCTCAGCTCCTTGAGGCTACCTAAAACCCATATAAAATGGTTTTGGAGCTCCTGATTCCCAAAGCTTTGATCCCTAAGATTCGATCTAGCTCAAATCACATATTTTGTTTGTTTGTTTGTTACAGTTCAGACAGTGGAAACAGTGTGAAAAGACTGAAATCGGACCCTGACCCAGATGATAAGAATCAAGGTGGGTGGTAGCTTTCATGTCATTCTTTACCCATCATACACATGAACCGTGATAAAAGGCTGGAATGCATTGTATCTGTGAAGGAACGCGTGTATCCCCAAGCAAACCTACCTAAACTTACTAAGCCAGTTTAAACCATGCAGGATTTAAACCTAGGGTTGTATCAGCTGCCCACCAAAGTAATATGTTAGAAACCATGGAACTGATAAATGACAGTTGTGTTCTCTCAGGAGTGCTAACAATGCCAAAGCCCTGGTGATACCAACCTCTCCTCACAAAGGGTTTTTCTCTTTCTCCCTTAAATGTCAAGTTTCTTCATTTCACCTGGCTGGCTACCAGTGAGAGGTAGAATGCCTGACTCCTTCTGTTGGTTGGATTGGATTGGATTGGACCAAGAGGCTAAATAGTTTACAAAGAGTACACTTTCTTTGGTGGTTTCTTTCATGTGATCAAATCTGGTACTGTATTAAGTGGCACCAAGTTATAAGTGAGAGTATCACTCATGACTGAATCAGGGATAAGAAATTCAAGAGTGTTTTCAGTTCTTCTGACTTCCTGTGGAATTGAGACTTTGAGCTGAACTCAAATGGTCATCATTGAAACAGGGCTTACATTTATTTCTCTTTTAAAAAAAGATGCTTTAAAATATATTTTTTCTTTCAAAAATTAATGGGTATTTTAAAATACATATCCACTGAAGTCCAGTAATGGTGGGCTGTTGCTGATACCTTTTTGCTCTAGAATTTACTTGTGAAAAGGATCTTCAGTGAAGAGCTTTCCTTCTCCCTATATGTCCTCTTCCATCCAATTTTCCTTCCCAGAGGGAAGTACATTTTTTACATATATATCTGGATATATGTGTATATCCAGATTATTCTATGTGTGTATAGACAATTAACAAATATGCTCTTTTTTAAAAAAAGTTTTATTATAGCTAACTTAAAACATATTTAGATATTGAGGTAATAGTATGATGAACCCCATCATGTACATTCAATTTTTAACGTGTCCAATTTTCTTTTTTAAAGAAAGTTTTATTTTCTTATTTTTTATTTTGGCTATGCCACATGACTTGTGGGATCTTAGTTTCTAATTTGCTGTGGCTAAGACTTTCAATACTGTGTTGAAGAGAAGTGGTGAGAGTGGGTATCCTTGTCTTGTTCCAGATTTTAGCAGAAAGGCTTTCAGCTTTTACCATTGAATATTATATTGGCTGTGGGTTTGTCATAAAATCATTTTATTATGTTGAGATATGTTCTTTCTATACTCACTTTTGCAAGGGTTTTCATCATGAATGGATGTTGATTTTTATCAAATACATTTTCTGCATCTATTGAGATGATCATGTTGGTTTTGTCCTCTTTTGTTGGTGTGGTGTATCACGTTTTCAATACACTGAACCATTGTCATGACCCTGGAATGAATTCAACTTGAGTCGTGGTGTATGACCTTTTTTATGTGTTTTTGGATTCTGTTTGCTAGTTTGAGAATTTTTGTGTCTATATTCATCAAAGTTATTGACCTATAACTTTCTTTCTTGGTAGTGTCTTTGTCTTGTTTTGGTATCAGGATGATGGCTTCATAGATGTCTTTGGTAGTAGTCTTTCCTCCTCAGTCTTTTGGAAGAGTTTGAGAAGGATAGGTGTAAGTTTTTCTTTGTATGTTTGTAGAATTCCCCAGTGAAGTTGTATGGTTCTGGACTTTTGTTTGTAGGGAGTTTTTATTATTACAGATTCGGTTTCATTTCTAGTGATTGGTCTGTTCAAGTTATCTGTTTCTTCTCGGTTCAGTTTTGGTGGACTGTATATGTTTCTAGAAAGTTGTCCATTTCTTTGAGGTTGTCAAATTTGTTGGCATCTAATTGTTCATAGTATTCTCTTATGGTTTTTTTGTATTTTTGTGGTATCTGTTGTGATTTCTCCTCTTTTATTTCTTATTTGTTTATTTGGGTCTTCTCTATTTTTGTCTAGTTGAGCCTGCCCAGAGGTTTGTCAATTTTGTTTACCCTTTCAAAGAACCAGCTCTTGGTTTTATTGATTTTTTTCTTCTATTTTTAAATCTCTTTTATTTATTCCCTGTCTGATCTCTATTATCTTCTTCCTTCTGCTGACTGAAGTTTTGTTTGTTCTCACTCACATTCTTTTAGGTGGTAGGTTAGGCTGTTAGATTTTTCTTGTCTTGAAGGCCTATATTGCTATGAACTTTCTAAGAACTGCTTTTACTGCATCCCATGGATTTTGTGTGGTTGTGTTTTCATTCTTATTTGCCTCAAGATATTTCTTTAATTTCTTCCTTGATTTCTTTGTTGATCCATTGGTTTTTTAGTCATGTTGTGTAGCCTTCCTGTAATTTTTTTTCTTGTTTCTTTTTCTGTGGTTGGTTTTTAGTTTTATATACCCTTGTGGTCAGAAAAGATGCTTGAAGTAATTTCTATACTCTTAAATTTGTTTAAGCTTTTTTGTGTTTAATCCTAGAGAATGTTCTATGTGGGCTTGAAAAGAATGTGTATTCTGCTTTGGAGGGATGTAATGTCCTGAAGATATCAATTAAGTCTAAATGTTCTGTTGTATCATTTAGAATCTCTGTTGCCTTTTCTGTCTCAAAGATCTGTCCATTGATGTTGAGCGGGGTGTTAAAGTCTCCTACTATTACTGTATTCCTATCAATTTCTCCCTTTTTTTTTTTTTTTAATTTTTTTTTTTAATTTCTCCCTTTTTATGTTATTTGTTTTATGTATTTGGGTGCTCCTATATTGGGTGCATACATGTTGACAAGTGTAATATCCTCTCCTTATATTGATCCATTTATCATTATATAGTGTCCTTTATCTTTGTTTATAGCCTTTGTTTTAAAGTCTATTTTGTCTGATATAAGTATTGCTACCCTTGCTTTCTTGTCATTTCACATTTGCATGAAATAATTTTTTCCATTTCTTCACTTTTAATCTGTGAGTGTCCTTTGACCTAAAGTGAGTCTCTTGTAGGCAGCATGCTGTAGGCTTTTGTTTTTTTAATCCAGTCTGCCACTCTGTGTCTTTTGATAGAGCACTTATTCACTGACATTTAATTATTGATAGATACGTATTCATTGCCATTTTAAACTTTGTTTTCCTGTTGATTTTATTTCTTCTTCATCTTTTTTGTTTTTTCTTTTGTCCATTATGCTTATGTTCTCTTCTTTTTGGATTTTGTGAATCTGTTTGTAGGTTTTTGATTTGTGGTTGCCCTGTTTTTCAAGTATGTTAACCCCTTCCTTTATCTACTTTAGACTGGTAGTCATGTAGGCTCAAACACATTGTAAAAAAAAAAAAAAAAACCAAGTTTTCTTACTTTCCTCTTCCACATTCTATGATTTTGATGTCCTCTTTTGCATCTTCATGGTCATCCTTTTGCTGCTTATTGTGGTTATCATTGTTTTCAGAGAAAGTTTTAAATTTTTTAAAATCTGTGTAATGTCTTACTTAAGTGATTTATTTCCCATTGTGATTTTCTCCTCCCTGTAGATCCTTAGTACTTTTCTATTTAGAGCTGACCTTTCAATATTTCTTTTTTTAAGATAGGTTTAGTATTGTTGTATTCTTTTACTTTTTGCTTATCTGAGAAATTCTTCTCTCCCTCTGTTCTGAATGATAATCTTGGCTGGGTTGAATATCCTAGGTTGCAGATATTTCCTTTTCAGGAGTTTGAATATATCTTGCCATTCCCTTTTGGCCTGCATTGTTTGTGTAGAGAAATTAGCTGATAGCCTTATAGGTGTTCCCTTGTAATTAATTTTATTTTCCTCTTGCTGCCTTGAGAATCCTCTTTTTATCTTCAACTTATGCTATTTTTTATTATAATACGTCTTAATGTAGGTCTGTTTGGGTTTATCTTGTTTGGGACCCTCTGTGCTTCCTGTATCTGGATATCTTTTTTTTTTTTTCTTCTGGTTTGGGAAGTTTTCAGCCATAATTTCTTCAAGTACATTTTTAATCTCCTTTTCTTTTTCTTCTCCTTGTGGGATCCCTATTACGCCTTGATTGGCATTATCCCATAGGTCTCTTAAATTGCTTTCTTTTTTTTTAATTTGCAGTTCTAATTGAGTGATTTCCATTATTTTTTCTTCTAAATCACATTCATTTTTCTGCATTATTCATTCTGCTTTTCATAGCCTTTAGTTCAGCTTTTATCTCGTCAAATGAATTCTCTAATTTTTCTTAGCTCCTCGTAGTTTCTAGTTCCTTTTTATAGTAATCTATATTTTTGTTGATATTCTTAATTCCTTCAATGTTTTCATTATCTCCTTTTTGAATTTGGTGTCTATCAGACTGAAGAGGTCTGTTTCATTGTTTGTTCTTTTAAGGAGAATTCTCTTGATCTTTAATTGGGAGTGATTCCTCTGCTTCCTCATTTTACTTACATTTCTCTTGCTCTATGAGTTTAGGAGAAGCAATTATCTACTGTAGTCTTGGAGGCCTATTTTTATATGGGAATGACCCTTTGTAGCTTGCATGGGTTTAATTTTTTTTGATGTGAGAACTGTTTTTATAGTATGGATGCCCGCCACCTCTTTTCCTTATTGTATTCTGGCCGTTGTCCCCTTGAGAGGAGGTGTGGTTGATATTGTGGTGATTGGAGCCTGCACTGGATATTGAGCGTGGCCTCCCTTTTGCTCTCTGGCTGTCACTGCCCTGTCTGGGGCAGGATCTGCTCCCTAGTTGTTGGAGTAGAAGCCCCCAGCTCTATTTCTGAGCTGCATTTCTTTTTAAAAATCTATTTATTTATCTTATTTTTGGCTGTGTCGGGTCTTTATTGCTGTGAATGGGCTTTCTCTAATTGTGGTGAGATGGGGCTACTCTCTAGTTGTGGTACACGGGCTGCTCATTGCAGTGGCTTCTCTTGTTGTGGAGCACCAGCTCTAAGACGCGTGAGCATCAGTCTTTGCAGCTCTCGGGCTCAGTAGATGTGGCACGTGGGCTTAGTTGCCCTGTGATATGTGGGATCTTCCCAAACCAGAGATCA